GTGGGGCTCTGGTGCCTGCTGAATCTTCCCTTTGTGTGTGTCATTTGTGGAGTTCATTGGGTGGCGTTCAGGTGTAGTCTGAAGCTGACTTCAGGGTGTGTTTTTCTGGGGCTTCTTGAGAGGTGCTCTGGGTGTAGGCCAAGATTAGCTGCTGCCTATGCCTGGCCTATGACAACCTGGTAGAATCTTCAAAGTGAGTCGTTTCATGTGTGCTGGGCTTGGAGGCACCTGGGAGAGACTATGCTGGGAATTGAGGTTGGCTGCCCCCAATAGGGGCTGCTTAGCAAGAGAAATGGGGCAGACTAAGGCCAGCCACTGCTTGCTTGGTGTTTGTGAACTTTTGAGAGATTTTAGAAAAGTCTATACAGTGTGAGCCAAGGAAGGCCACTTGTGTGGAAAAGCAGCTAGAAGAGGTTCAAACCAGGTGTGCAAGCTGGGTGTGGCGGGGTCTCATTGAGTCACCAGAGCAGGGGGAATGATGGTAGCTAAGTTAATGGAGAGCTCAGATTTGGTATCTTCCTGCCACGGCAGGCTGGGGACAGGGGTTGGGGGTGGGGAACTCAACAAAGGAACAGTGGCGTCTTCCAGCATTTCCATCCTGAACCTTGCCCTCCAGCTCCCACCCTGAAGCATCAGTTCAGTTCCTCCCCATATGGCCCTGGTGCTTTTCTAGCTGTTGCCCTAGCACTGGAACCAAGAGTGGGCCTGTACTCAGGTCTTAAGACCTGCAGTGTCTAAGTCTCCAGTACCCTCAGTCTCACTCAGCCACAGTCCCTAGTGGTTTTCATAGCCAGATATTATGGGGACTCCTCTTCCTGGACCTAGGGCTGTGGGAAGGGGGAGCCCAGTGTGGGGCTGAGACACCTCACTCCACAGGGGTGACCTCTGCAGCTAAGATATCCCTCTTAATTCTTAATAGCTACACATGTGGGTGTGGCACTGGACCATTCTGTGTCTCTACACTTCCTACCAATCTCGATGTGGCTGCTTTTTTATATCCTTAGTTATAGGAATTCTGTTCAGCTAGTCCTCAGGTAGTTCTCAATAATGGCTGTTCTATAATTTAGTTGTCATTTTGATGTGATCATGGAAAGAGGTGAGCATTTTTGCCTACTCCACCATTTTGACTGTAAGTTGATATACTATACTCTTTACCATAGTAAGTGAACAGCTTTATCAATCACTAGCTGAACAAATCTTCGGCCCTCACTTTTGTGTTAATTTTACTAATAGTTCATCTACATCATACTTGGGATTCAAGAGAATATCAAAGTGAGAAAATTTCAAAGCGAAAAGAACACCATGATATTTGTTTAAATCTTTTAGGCCTCCTAGGCAGTGTATTTTCTGGGTTAATTCTAGATACCAAGTTCAAACACACAAAACCAAATTCATTTATAAAGTGCCTCTTACTCCAAAAATACCAAGATGTTATTTAAATGTAAAACTTTTGTTAATGATATTCAGTATAAGGTTCAAAAAGAAATATCATAGATAAATACATTACTAAAAGTCATATAACAGTAGGATTGTAAATACATTATTCAGACCTTCTAATAGACTCAACTGTAGTTACAGCAACCAAGTGGCATTAATAAACTTACAGAAATGGGCTTATAACACACAATGTTACCGTGAATTTCATATTTTCTACCTTTTCATGGCTTATGATTGTGAAAGTGTGGAATAATGCTAGTCAATATATGAAATGAAAAGGTACAATATTATTTTTATTTTTAAATTTAATCTTTATTTTTCCATTACCATTTAGTCCTCTTATACCCCCCTCCTCTGAGCAATCACCAACTGTTGTCCATGTCTATGAGTCCTTTTTCCTTTTTGTTCAATCCTCCTACCCACTAATGCCCCCTACTAGTTGTCATCCTGCTCCCCATCTATGAGTCTGTCCCCATTTTCCTTGTTAGTTCAGCTTTATCATTAGACTCTACAAATGAGTGAAATCATATGGTAGTTGTCTTTCTCTGACTGGCTTATTTCACTGAGCATAATGTTTTCCTGGTCCATCCATACTGTCACAAAGGGTAAAATTTTCTTTTTTTACAGTGGAGTAGTATTCCATTGTGTTAATGTCCCATAGTTGTTTTATCCACTTATCTACTGACGGGTCATTTGGGCAGCTTCCATATCTTAGAGATTGTAAATAACACTACAATGAACAGAGGGGTGCTTATGTTTTTTCAAATTAGTGTTTTGGGTTCCTTCCAGTATATTCCCAGAAGTGGGATCACTGGGTGAAAAGGCAGATCCGTTTTTGTTTTTGAGGTATCTCCATACTGCTTTCCACAGTGGCTGCCTCAGTCTGCATTCTCACCAACAGTACAACACCTTCTCCACATCCTCGCCAGCACTTGTTGATTTATTGATGGTAGCCATTCTGACAGGTGTGAGATGGTATCTCATTGTGGTTTTAATTTGCATTTCTCTGATGATTAGAAACATTGAGCATCTTTTCATATGTCTGTTGGCCATCTGTATGTCCTCTTTGGAGAAGTGTCTGTTCAGGCCCTTTGCACATTTTTTAACTGTCTTCCTAGTGTTGAGTTACATAAGTTCTTTATATATTTTGGAAATTAACCCCTTGTTAGATGTATTTTGGCGAATATGTTCTCATACACTGGGTTCCCTTTTTATTTTGTTGATGGTTTCTTTAGCTGTGGAAAAGCATTTTAATTTGATGTAGTCCCATTTGTTTATTTTTCCTTTGTTTCCTTTGCCCTAGGAGATATATTGGCAAAAATATTGCTACAAGCAGTGCCTGAGATTTTGCTGCCTATGTTTTCTTCTGGGAATTTTATGGTACCTGGTCTAAAATTTAATTTTGAATTTATTCTTGTGTGTGGTGTAAGGAGGCTGTCTAGTTTCACTTTTCTGCATGTATCTGTTCAATCTTCCCAACACCATTATTGAAGAAACTTTCTTTAGCCCATTGTATGTGTTTGCTTCCTCTGTTGAATATTAATTGACTATAAAGGTGTGGGTTTATTTCTGGGCTCTCTATTCTGTTCCATTGATCTGTGTGTCTTTTTATGCCAGTACCATGCTGTTTTGATTATTATGGTCTTATAGTATAGTTTGATATTAGGTAGCGTGATTCCTCCAACTATGTTCTTTCTCAGGATTGCTGTTGCTATGAGGGATCTTTTGTGGTTCCATATACATTTTTGAAGTATTTGTTCTAGTTCTGTGAAATACATCACTGAAAAAGCACAGTATTTAGAGTCAGATCAAAAATAACAAATTTTTATAATTTTTGGCTGCAGGACCTTGGGCAAGTCATTTAACTGCAGAAAATCTTCCATAGGAATTTTATTGAATTTAATGCGACACTGATGTGAAAGTGTTTCATAAAGTAAATGTCTCATATTCTATAGGGAAAAGCATATGTGAGTGTCAAGAATGAAGTTCATAAGTGTGGTGTTTGGTTTTACAGTGAGAAAGACTCACTGATCACTCAGTGAAGAAAGAAAATCACATGACCTATGGCATAATTAACCCTTATAAAGAGGCCTCCAGTGGGATTTCACTTTATTTTTTAATGTGTTTGAGACACAGACATTTAATATTTTTTTCTTAGTTCCATTAATTAGTAAAAGCTAACACATACAAAACTGTTACTATGTGTCAGGCACTGAACTAAGCACTTACTGTATATGAGCTCACATGATCCTCACAGCCAGCCTGTGAGGCCAGTGCTATGACTGCACCCATTTTACAGAGAAAAAACCAGGGGAATAGATTAGGGGAGGAGGAACAGTCAATGAGGACCACATCCAGAAGTTTTTCTGTTATTATTTTATTATTTTCTCCTACCCCCATTATTAGGGGTATTTCTCTTACCCCTATAGAAGCTGCTAGAGAATACTAAAGTACTTTGCAGTAATTTTGAAGTAAAAATGAAATGTCGGACATATTTTACAAACCTCAGATGATCAAACACAGCCTCATGAACCATTCCCATGGACAGGCATATTATGCCACATCTACAGCCACATATGAAGTTGGAAACATGAGGCTACACCACATCCCAGAGCATGAGAAGAGGGCGGCAAGTTGCACTGAGTGTGAGCCTGAAGAGCCTGCTCACCATGACTCTTGAAAAAGCGGATTGCATTATATGAACACGGAGAATATTTTCCAGATTTTCCCCAACCACACAGTCGTCTCCCGAGCTTTGGCTTCAACCATTAACACATGTGGTTTGGACATGAATCTGGAATCAGTCATCGTTCTAGCACCCTGTGCTTTTCCCGCCTGCTCCCAGTCTGTTCTGTGCTGTGTTCCTTTAGGATTTGCTAGATGAGTTGTTTAAATTGGTAAATCTGTTAGTACCTAGTGGTGGTAACTTTGAGCATTATTTATATGGAGGTCTCCAATATATTAGCCCTCAAAAAGAGTGACAAATCTGGGCATTTATAAGTGCTCTGGCCGCTCCCCGGGAAGCTGTTCTGGAAAAGGTCCTTTTATCATACCGTGGAGGCAGCTTGCCTAGGCCAACACCGAGGATGGCTTCAAGGGGAGCCCAGTGGCTGCACACTGGCCTAAGCTTCCAGAAGTGCTCTTAAGCAGTAGGGGCTATAGCAACATATTAATTTATTTGGGGAACAATACTGAAAAAACTTTAATTAATTGAAAAGTACCCATACAAGAAGGAATTTACTTAAAATTTGATTTTTTTCTTGAAAAATAGGGGCCGACCTGAAGCCCTGGATAGGGCACAAATCCAATTAATGAAGGGAAGAGACAGTACAGGGAATCAATCTTATTTTGCAAAATTATTTGGAAGACCCAGGATGAAAGAAACATAGAAAGAAATAATGGTGCAGTACAACTACATTCTGCCATGTGGCTTCTTGCAACACCACCCCTCCCCACTTTTCCATTAATTTTTCAGCAGGTCTTTCTTTCAACACTACCACCACCACCAAAATTCCATGTAACTGCAGACAGTAATTTACTCACAAAGGAAACACACCTGCAGCTTTTTAAATAACCAACTTTTTTTATTAGAGCAGATACAGTTGTGAAAACTGTACATTATACATTTTGGTTTCAAGAATTATAAATAAAGGAACTCACAGGTAGGGAGTTCTTTTTCACAGCAAGAAACTTTAAATAAACAAGTCATGTTTTATTAAGTACATTGGCAGACCTCATGTGCTGTCCAAAATGTAGAGTACAGTATAACAACCCATTAGAAAGAGCCTTTCATGTAAAATACAGCTGTGCACATTTTAGAAAAATACCAACAATTTTGGCTTTGTTTTAAAAAAGCTTATAAATCATACATATATTTATAAATGGAACCAACATGCTCACTGTATAAACATATCCTTTAGTTATCTGTTACCCATTATTTCAAAGCATTACACATTTTAAATAAACACTTAGTAAGATTAAATATTTTGTTTTTTCTTTAAAAAATCAGCTTTCCCAGCATAAAGAGCTACGGGGTTAGGAAGGAGAATTGAGAGTATTGAGACTGACAGAGGAACTGAAACGGTTCTTGGGTAAAAACATACTTCTTAAATTTAAAAGTCAAAGCAAAATGTAAAAAATAAATAAATATACAAGTTGTAATTTTCATTTGCTCTCTTTCTGCTTTCTTCTTTATTCCATATTGGTCACACCCAGGATTCTCAACATATTGTACTTCTGCAAAAAACACCACTGGGTTACTACCTTGCAGGTGACAGAGCATCCAGGCCACCCCTGTGCTACCACATGAATTGTTTCTTCTGCATCGAAAAGGTAGCAAGTAAGGTGAAAAGAACTGGATGAAACCATGCAGACTGTGAAAATATTTAGGAATAGCTCCCTCTCTACAATGTAATGTTTCATAGAGATTTAATAGAAACCTTTCCTCCCCGATTTCTTTTTAAATAATTACTTTTAGAAAGACCATGTAGTTTCTCGAAGTAAGCATGCTTCTGAGTAATAAAGGATTAATTTATAAAACAGCAAAAAATCAGATTATGTCAGAATAACAAAGGACTGCAAAAGACAAATACTTAAACAAAAATGTCTAAGCCTTTAAGATGTGAAATAAAATTAAAAAAGGACTTTGAAAAACACAAAAGGCATAAAATTGAGAAGCAGTGATTTCACAAAGCTTTACGCTCTACCTGAATGTATTCAACAAAAATATTCAGTTGGAAAAAAAAAGAAAGAGAAGAGCAGTTATTAATAGCATCTTGCTTAACTTTCATGGGAATTAACATAGCCACTGACAAGATTTTATTTGGTTGTAAAGTACGTCAGCAATGAAACTGAATCTTTTAAACACCGATTACTGCAACCCATGCAACATTCTGACTTCTTAGAATTCTGTTGTCTTTCAGCTTTTAAAATTGAGCACCTCCTAAGTGCATAAATAATTCATTGAGTAACATTAAAAATATTTAAAATTAAGTTATTTCTTAGGAAGGTATAATGCTTTCAAATTGCTAAATTTTAAAGATAAACAGCCTTTCACCAAAGGTTTAGGAAGACTAAATGACATAAAAAAAAATGATGTATTGCTGTCAAAATCAACACATTTCTCTAGAATCTTGTTGTTTCTTTTCCTTGAGATGCAACATGTGTGTTTCATCTGGCCAGGACCGCACGTGGTAGATGACCATACATCATATTTAAATAAACAGCAAAAATAGTCGTGCACAAGCAAACGCAACGTTTTCTCCCAGAACGTTCCGGGAGACGTTAAAGCAGCAGGTCATGGCATAAGACTGCTGAGTGATGCTGCTACCTCGTTCTTGTAATGAGACAGGAGTGACTGTTGGAAAGGTGGCGCAGCAACACAATCCTCCGGCCGCATTCCTCAGGCTCGTTTGTTTCCCCAGCTCCCTACTGAAAACGTCAGATGGTAAAATAGTAAGGCAGCTGTTGACTTCCATCAACAACAACAAAAAAAACGCAGCTCCATACATTTCCAGTTTAGTCACACTCTGCTAGGACAGATGGAGTAGCCAATGCCAAGAACTTTGCCGGATGGGGCTGCTTCAGCAGATTTTTAAAGAGAATGATTATTAAGTTTTGTGCTCCAACACAGCTGCTTGCTTCAGCTCCCAGAGGACCCCAAAGCCATAAAGCACTCCCAGGGGGAACCGAATGGGTGCTCTGGCTGCATTTTCCAAGTTTCATTTCTCTTGTGAGCCCATCCTAATTCCGAGCCTCCTTCTCTGTGTCTGAGTCTGACTGGGGTGTGCCATTTAAAGGGCTGATGACACCACTGCGGAGAACTGTGGGCTAACACTACTAGTTGTCATGACTTCACCGAAGGGTCAAAACAGTTGTATCATTGAGTAACTATGTTGAATCGCATTCAGGCACAGCCAAAATTAAAGTGAAGGACAATATGTAGCTGTTAAAAAGAACATGAATTTGAATATGGGAAAACAATGTTGTATTTTATGATTTTTATATAGAAATTAAGGCCATTCTTACCTTTCCTAACTCCAATCAAGTTAGAAAGTGAACAAAAAGGATGGCCAATCCGATATTCAAGAGCATGACAAGGACAATCATGACTGAATTAGGGCCCTGGAAATAAAACAGAAAACAAGCATAACTTTAACATTTTAATATCAGTACATAAATTGACTCACAAAAGCAATTATTAAAAATATAAAAAACAGTTGCAGTAAATAAGGCATTAATAATGACAGCAGTTACAAAAGGTATAAACTAAAAATAGCACTGTCATATTTAGATGAAGCCATCTCTGAACTTTCACTTAAAAATGAATCTAGTTAAAATTAAACCTAAAATAATAACTTAAAAAATATGCCACATTCACCTCAAAACACTGGGCAAGAGTCTGGGTGAGACACACATGCTAGAAGCTAGCATGGAGTAGATGTGCATTTTTTGTTAAGGTGCAACCTGGATGAGGAAGAATTATTCTTGTAAAGGCAGTTAGAATGTGGGAGTAAAATCCGTAGACAGTGAGGCCTCCCAGGAAAAATTTCGAGAAAACTCAAAATGAGGTTCTCTCACTCTTGCTTTCTCTGGTCATCTTTTTGGACACTACCCCTTCCTTAAAGTAAAATCTGCAAGTGGGAAGTTGAACACTTCCAGAAATTATTTTACAGATCTAATTTTTTTGTTTCTCTGCTTATAACTCTAACATTTCAGAAGTCAAGTTATGCCTAAGAAAGCAAAGAATCCTATTTTGATAAATACTGCTGTAATATATATCACATCGCTGAAGGTACCCAAAATTTGTTGACTTGTTTAAAAAAACAAACCAGCCTTATATGACCCACCTTCTCAGAGCTGCCCAAGCCCAGCCACCTTTGTACACAGATTTGATCTTGGTAGTTACCATTAAAATTGTGTCTTATTCTTAAATAGCATTAAAACTGTTCTAAAGCTGGCCTCATGACTTAGATGGGGAGGCAGTCTTGTTCTTAAAGATGAGAAAACTAACACTGAAACTGATAGTCCTCAAATGCTATACTGTCGTAATTTTGGCAGATGGGGTTAGTGAGCCAGACTGGAACTGCCACTGGTCCCATGGTCATCTTGCAGGGTCTAGGGTTTGGGTCACACATCCTTGAAAGAGGTCTCCTCCCTGGTAGAGGTCAGAAGCGTGTGCGCCATTTTTCTCCATTATAATACGTCATGCTTTAATGTAATTTTTGTTAATTTGCTGCTGTTCCTCCCAGGCTGAGTTCCACAGCGGCAGGACCCCTGCCTTGTTTACCACTGTGCATCCACACGTAGGGGTTGCCCAATTAATTCAGACAACCAATGTTTAATGAAAACCTCTCTTCTGGCGCTTTTCCAGGTGACAGGGGTATGGTGAACAGACTAATTCACTGCCTTTAAAGAAGAAGAGGGTGATTAAAAAATCAGAGTGAGGTAAAGGAGGAAGTAAAAGTGGGTGCCCTCGATATAGGGATTATTAGGAAGAAGGAAAACACTACCTAGTTCCTAAACTCCAAGTAAATGAAAGGGTAAAAAAAAATTTACCGCAGGTCTTTGTATGTCAGGCAATGAACTAAGATTCCTTTGTAGATTATTTGAAAAAATTCTTCACAAGTGATTATTAGTTCCATTTTACAGAGCTGAGAGGGTGTGTGGCCCAAGGCTACTCAGCCAGTTTGAACAAATTAGAACCAGAATTAAACTTTAGTCTGTTCACTGCAGAGCTCATGCTCTTTTCTCTATATCCCCATGAAAGCCACAGGCCCTAGTTTAAAAATATTAATTTCCCATGAACTTCTTTAAAATGGTATTTTCATTTATACCCTATGATTCCACAGTATTAGAAAAATATCAAAATTTTGTAACTATCTGTGCTTCTTTTAAACTATTTGTGTTGCAAACGATTAGGAGAGTACTAACCCAGGCAACTTTCCAATCATGGTGAACTCAGAATACATAATGTGGGAAAGTCTTATAACTCAGGAAATAATTCAGATGATTTTTTAACATCACAGCAGCATGGAGATTAAGGAAATGCTATGAATACTATAAACTTTGATTAGATTTTGCTCATGAATGTGTTAAGAGTTTTGGGATCATTTCAATTGTCTTGGGTCAATGGATTTAATTCCCAATTCCAAAAGACAGTGACATGCAAAATGAGAAAATTTTTCTATTGAACATATATTTATCCTGTGTATATTCTAATACAGACATCCATTTATCCTACCACTTATAAAGCTGTCTTTAAAGATGACTCAGTAAAGATGAGGGTAAACCAGCAATAACAGGTTCAAATAGCAACTAGGCGAAAAGTAAATTCTAGGACGCTGTGTTTAATATTAAGGCAGATATCAAGATGTGACCTCTATGTTCTTCAGCTCCCTTGCTGGGTACAGGGTGGAAAACTTTAAGGTGAAGTTTCATAAATATGACTGGTGGCCAGTTGTAGCTTAAAATAGCAAAATGAAAAAATCAGTCTTGCTTTTCAAGACTGACTGGGACAGGTGTCGTGAAGGAAGCTGTTGCAGGGTAAAGTGCAAGTCTTGATTGGAAGAAAATTTGAGGCAGTTAGAATATCAAGTGCAGGAAGTCAAAATATGGAAAGTCATTCTAACTCAAAATCAATCTTTCTTTTTTTTCTTTAAGATGCTATCCACTCATTTAAAATGGTGAGGATTTTTCTGATAAAGGTATAGTTTATGTTAAATGGAAAACTCCAAAAAACATAAAAGAACAAAGCTTGCTTCAGTATTAATAACAACATTTAATTATATGGATTGACTGTTTTTGTTGTGTGTGTGTGTGGTTCGAACATGATCGGACAGGAATGCTCTAAGTTTTACAATTCAAGAGAAATAACAGGTAAATCTCAAACTTGGAAGCTCAGCAGAGTAATGGCTAGGGAAAAATTCAGGCAGTTTTCAGAAGGGGTGGCAATTCTTAATTAGAAGACCCCTTACCAGTCTATCTAATAAGGCTCTCAAGATGCCTTCCCTGCCTTCTACCCGAGTCTCCAGGTAACAAAATCCTCCAAAAACTGTGGTGTCACATGAGCCTACATGCAACCCCTGCCCACAGGAGTCACAAATCTCTTTGGGGGAGGGCGTTGTAGAGTAATCCCTGCCAGTGCTCCCCGTCTCCCCACTCTCATATTCAAGGAATTAATCTGCTCTAAATGTTAGCCTGAGTCCCAGAAGACTTTCTAGATTTCTAGATCCATCGCCAGGGTCATCTGGAGGTTGGGTCAGAGTCCACTGGAATACAGCAAGTTTTCGAATATGTTGTTTTGTTCAACATAGTTTCATTATAAGATTGAGGAGAAAAACAACTGATTCCTGGCCAGGGCCACTGTTTATGTGGAGTGTTCCTGTTCTCTCTGTGTCCGTGTAGGTTTTCTCCTACATCCTAGAGATGTGCAGAGATGTGCATTGTCTCAATCTGAGTGTGGGTGAGCGGCTCTATGATGGAAGGGCATCCTGTCCAGGATGGGTCCTGCCTTGTGGCCTGAGCTGCTGGGACAGGCTCCGGGCCACACATAACCCCGAACTGCAATAAGCGGGTTGGAAAAGATTTATAGTACTTGTTTTTAGTTATCTTTCTTAAATGTGTGTATAGCTTACATTTATTTTATTTAGTGTTTAATATTAGAAGTGTTCTGGATCTTTATTTAGAAGTGTGGTGATGGTTTTGTGACCAGAAATATGGTGTAGAAACTTCACTCTTGTTTATATCAATTAGCCTGTAGTGAACTGGTTTCATTACAAGTCATTTCACTTAAAGTCGTGGTTTCCAAGAATCTGTGTTGATGATGTGATGTGAAGACTTACTGTATTTATCAGCAATTAATAATAGACAATGGTTTTTGAGCTCTTCCCATGTGCTAGGTACCATGCTAAGAACTTTATAAGTATTAATAACTCTATGATAGAGGATGAAGAAACCAAGTCACAGAGCAGTTAGGAAACTTGCCCCAGGTCACAAACCAGGAAAGTCACACAGCTGGAATTTGAACCTAGGAAGATTGGCAACACAGTTCACAGCCTCAGCTACTAGCCTAGACTGTCTTAATAAGCTGGTTGAAATTCTAGTTTCAGTTTGGTGAGCCACCCTACAAATGGCGATTCTGACTTAAACTTGGTCTGTCAGCTGCCCACAAGGAGCACTAGCTGATTCAGTCTGGTTTTCCATCAAATGTCTGCTTTAGTGTGAATGTTTCTATGAATTTTCAAGTTGTTATTTATAAACCTCTAACTTATACAGTGCCGTTTAATTTCAAAATTATATGCAGTACTCCTTGGTTTTAAAGGTTGTTCATTGACTACCTTGATGGTGGTTTTGTCACTTCCTAGCTCTCTATGAAGAAAAGTTAACAGGGTGTGGAAGGCAGCTTTCAGTTATTACTAGGAAGAGAAGATTAATTGTTAAAATCTTCCCAGGAAGATGCCATGTCAGTCCTGACTTCTGGTTCCCGTGGTGGCAGAAGTGGGAGCAGAAGTGGGAGCTGCTTGTCCTCCTCTCTCTCCCTTGGGGTGGGGGATGGGGGCCCTAGAGACAAACCTATTGAGCTGGGAGATGCTTGGCTAACTCCAACAATCACACAATTCTCCCCATCAGTGAAACAGGTTCTTATTTTGTTTTTGTTTTTTGTTTTTTTTTAAATAAACAAGGAAACTGTAAAGTTTATCGAAGAACTATTTCAGTCAAGAGGTAGGTAACTCACCTAATTGTAGGACGCTGGGGCACATGCTTCCCTGTGGGCACTTGTGGGAGTCAACTGAACGCCGCCCACCACAGGGAACCTAAAGCTATAAATTATAAAGCCTTGTATTGTTTGAATTTCCCCCTTGTAAATTAGGCAAACTAATATTAATATAAATGTGAGGCTTAATGAACCTGTAAATAAAAATGCTGAAGTAAAATGAAAAGTGAACTATTACATTTAACAACTTCAACAGTAATAACATATATTATAGGTATAATATCACGACACTGAAATATCAGTGTTAAAACTTAAAAAAAAAAAAAAAAAGCTTACTAAACAGCCAGAGTCTCAGTTACTGTTTTGAAAACTGTCTATCCCATGGGCTTGACTCAGAAAGTTAATCCAGTTAATCTGATTAATGTATATTTAGATAATTAAAAAGATTAGAATTTGAAAAAAAGGGTGGGAACCAGTGTTTATACCTATTAGCAAAGTCAACAAACCTCAAAAATTTCAAATGTAATTAAAAAGATCAATTTCAATTGTTTAACCCTGTGAGAAAATTAAGCAGACCAAAAAATAAAAGAAACTGATGATTGTATTATATTCTTGTTGGCCAAGATACTAACACACACCTTTATGTAAATGTCTCTGAAATTACTAGGAGATATTGGGTTGACTGTGGCTTCTTCTCTAAGCTAGGAAAAACCTGTGACACCTCTGTCCCAAAGGCTTATGAATAGGCTGGTCAATGGTTTATCCAAAATTACCCAGCTTTAGATTTTATAAATTTACAGAACTTGATAAAATATGAATTCCATATCATTAACAAATAAATCTCATTTGGGGCTTATTAATAACTGGAAGCTTTCTGGTTGAATAATAAAAATCTTAAATGGTCAAGATTTATACTAAAACCAGCATCTACTAGAAATCTGAAATTTTAGGAGCAGTAACACTCCAGGGGGTTAGAAGACCAAGGTACATTTTCAGTTCGCATATGGAAAAGAAAACTGTTGTAGCTGCAAAGCCTGGCTTAAAGTAAAATCCAAACTAAATATTTATGAGAATAATTCACAATAGCTAGAAATGATATACTTTTATCTAAAGGTGCTTACTCTTTTGGGGAGTCAAGAGGTGGGTTAAGAACCTAGCAAACGGTGGTGGAGCCCTCTCTTCCTAGCTCAAGCTCTGAGTGTCGCTTGGGTTCCTTTGTAGCCATCAGGGAGTTAGCTGTCATTAGGAACTGCATGTTTGTGGGCCTCCAGAATTCACAGGTTGAAACCCTAATCTCCAATGCTACACACATGGAGATGGGGTCTTTGGGAGGTAACTAGGTTATGAGTGTAGGGCTCAATTGGTTAGTGCCCTTATGAAGAAGAGGCGGAGCTTGCCTTCTCTCAGCTGTGTGAGGACACAGTGAGAAGAGGGCCTGTGGTCTATGAACAACGAAGTGGGTCCTCACTAGACACCAAATCTCCTGGTGCCTTGAGCTTGGAACTCCCCAGTCTCCAGAATGGTGAGAAATAAATGTGTTGATTCAGCCACCCAATCTAGGTACTTTTATTTTAGCAGTCTGAACTAAGCTACCAGGAAGTGCTGGAAAAGGCTTGTTAAACCATGATGCCGTCCAAGCTGGCTCTGTGTTAACCTACCTGAATGATGTATAAGGTGGGTGAGTGGCTGGCTGAGTGAACATGGAGGCATTCCTGCCCGGAGAGCTCTTTCCTGTCTCCAGCTACAAACGTGCTCAGATCTGCTCTAAGCAGCCCTGTGGTGTCAGGACTTTTGCAAGCCTAGTTGTCATCAGGGTGCAAGTCACCCGTGCTGCTACCTGAAAGAACCAGAGTGAAGTAAGGAAGAGAAAGCACGTCTTAGACAACTTACCGAATTGGCTTCTTTTTCCAAAGAAGGGCATGAATTGTTGCTCGCTGGATTCTTTGGTATGGCAAGTTCAGACTTCTTGGCTTTTGGCTCAGCTTTGCTTTCTTTGGCAACTGGTTTTGTCACAGATTTAGGGGGACTCCACTTGTTGGATGACGGCTTGTGCACCAGAGCTGAGGAAGAGTGGCCGGATCCTTCATCTTCCTGCGCATCTTCTGGAGGGTGCTTGGGGGCGTTCAGTTTCACGTAATAGCCGTGGTACTGAGAATGCAGCTCCCCATTACTGGGGTTAGGGACATGGTGGCGGCCAGAGTACTTGGACTGGGGCACGATGGCTCCCATCTCCTTTGAGGGAGCCTTTGACATCAAGGGCTTGTTGACCATGGCCATCACCTGCTCATCAGCCACACTCCGTTTGTCTCGGTTGAGTCTGGCCCCTGGGCTGGGGTTCTGTTTCCTTGAAGGTTGTGGGGACGGCTGGGGAGAGTGCCTTTGTTTGGGACTTGCCTCAGGAGACCTTGGGGGTGTCGTACCTTTGCGATAAAAATGAGGAGACTCCTTTGGTGTAGGTGGCTTTTCTGGTACCTTTTCTTCTGGATTTTCTTTAGCATCTACACCTTCCTGAAATCTCTGTTTGATATAATCTGGGCCTGGGGGAAAAAGTGACAACAGAAAGGATGGTGATAAAATAAAAATGAGGCATAAAGGATTGTTCCTCATGGCACATATGTAAAGGAGGTCCTTAAATAACATCTTTTTGTTCACTGTCATTTTGTGATAACACTGATGAGATGCCCTTGGAACTTAACTCTCGCTTATAAAATCAGCCCGTGGTAAAACTTGTTTTGTTATGTTTCACTTAAAGTCATAGTATCTACTGATGATGAAGTGAGGACGCAGAAAAAATATATAGTTAAGTCAGCTTAGCTTTTCTTTTTCTTCTAAATATACTTATGAGGATTTGACTAAGCACAAGCACATTCATTCCCCAGGAGAAAAGATAATTTGTTGCTTAAGAAGTGTTTTTATGTTCATATATATGGTTATTTATACTACTTTGAAAGCCATAAAAATGAAACCATTGAGACTTCTCTGGTAATTGCACTGGCTGTGCCGGCTTGCAGAACACTGAAGAAGATTTCGGAACCCTGCTGACCACACTGTGACTATCTGCATATCCAAATGAGGTGGCATAAATAAAACACAAATCATGCACTCTTCTCAATGACATTGACTCGTGTGTTTAATATTTAATACATTATCTACACTGTATGAGATAATGTAATTTTAATACATTATCTACACTGTATGAGGCAGATAAAAATATCTGCATATTTTTAATGATCCTCTTTCAAATAATCATTTCAAGTTCCTAGGCAGGAACGTCTGTGGTTTAGTTTGTACTTTGCAAAATAACTCTCACGGAGTCGTTCCCAGCATGGATTTTCACTGCAGGCATCAAAACAGGGCTGTTTTCTTTGGCTCACAGGTCTCAGGATTGTTTTCTTGTTCTGAACACTTTAGGATTGTTTATAACAATCCCATATTGTTTTATCAATGTTGGAACCTTTCATTTAAAAAAGGGCCCCTGGTGCTATTTTGTATGGGAGCTCATGGATAGTATGAGGAGTTAAGAAACAGAAAGTGCAGCACAAGATGGTACCAGCCATAAAAGTTTATTTAAGGATGTCAGTGGTCCAGGCAGGGGACATCAGTGGGGCTCTCAGGGACAGCGCCCCAAGATGGTGCCCTCCTGTTGGGGACTTTGCCTCTCAGCCCCTCCCCTAGAACCACATCATGTACATCTTCTGGCCACCACTCCACTCATCAGCCACTTCTCATGTCACGAGATGAAGTCAAGGTCACACAGTGCAGCTGGCCCTTTGCTCTGCACACAGGCCAGAGCTGACAATGTCATCTCTCCTGTATACAAGGGAGAAATCACCCCACCAATTTGCTTACAGGACTTGACCAGCTCTTGTCAACTCCACAGCATCGTTCACTTTCCTTCTGGCTCCCCACCCCTGAAGCGCTGAAAAAACAATTATTCTGAATTGTTAAGAACACATACTGCCTACTTATACTTTTAATTGCTCTCTCCTTGGTGGTCTGAGTAATAATTTGTTGTTAGGAGACTGCTATTTATTATACAAGGCATTTTCCAAAATTCCAAGCCTCACCAAAATCATAGAAAGCAGTCGTTATCCTCATTTTACTGATGTGAAAACAGCTGTAAAAGCTGAACAACCAAATATCACAGAGCTCCTACATATCCTTAAGAGAAAATAGAATGCAGTGTACAATGTAATATTTTAAGCCCACAAATGGGAATTCCTAAGGACCCACAATTATGGGTTGTACTCAGGCCAAAAAATAATAGCATTATCCCACTTTCCATCCTCCAGAAGACAAATCCACCCCTGGAAGTTTAAATTTCCCAAAAAGGTCACGATCACATGTCAACAATGGAGATTTCCTTTTAAACCCAGTATAAGCATCCTCTTTTAAAGAGTCGACCACTTTCTTTTAAATCCTTCATCCACAATGGCAGTATGAATTGTTAGCACAGAGAAATGCCCCTCATGTGAGCGAAGAAAAAAGAGAAACTGCAGTTATTTAAAAGGGGATGTCTTTTCCAAATTTGTTTTTGGTGCTGAGATGGAGACATAGCACCCCAAGAGTGGTGCTCTATTATTTAGAACCCATTCAGGTCACCTACACTAGTCTTCCATGGACAGGCCCCCTCCTCATCCAAAGGAAGGATTGTTTTTACAGAACCCCTCCTTTGTCAAAACAGCTGCTGACAAAGTGACGGTTGACAGCAAGGAGGAAACTGAGGAAACACAGCTATAAGTGACTGAAGATTTGGGGGGGAAACTCAGGTAATTCAGTAATCGTGGGCCCAAGGAAAACAATTATTTTTTAAAGTCAGCACTTAAAGGAGTACGCTTTAGTTATCTGGTAAAAGAGCATAAAGCCATAACCTTGAACACAAAGTACATTTTCAAATGCTTTTAAATTTAGTTTCATTAATAGGCCAAGTGGGAAATATCTGACCATTGGAGGAATATGTATTAATGAATTTATGAAGCTGTCTTTTGGACTCCATTGAATGTATTTATTATCTTTATTGACTCCCAATTATGCATCTAATCATTCCCTCAGATTTATAGAAATCTGATGTGTTGCTTCTTTGGACAGTTCTTCTTTACTAAATGTGTTAGAAAAGGCATTTCTTATGTGATTGCTTGTGTCCCTCTCCTAAGACACAGTTTTCAGGCATATTCATTTCAATTTATCTACAGAGATTCTGATAAAATTCAAAATCTATTGAGCACAAAGCACTTACTAGAAGGTTGGAAGTACACTCTAGCTAGTGCTGTCAGATTAAAAAAAAAACCTTCACTTTATTATGCATTAAAAATAGCTGCATAAGGGAATAAATGTACTCCACAGCAGTGGCTCTATAGTTGCTGCGTCTCAGAGCCACCTGGTGTATGATTCCCAAAGACTTTGACTTAATGAGGATGAAGCAAAGCCTAGAAATCTTGAGGTTTTAACAAATATTTACATACCTAGTTAACAAACGCTAACATACCTAGTTATAGGCATTTGAAAGCATGCCACAAAATATGTTGACTCGTGATGGCCCAACTTAAGCCTTGTATCTAGCTGGAAATGATTCCAACATGGTGCAGTCATATGGGGACTGGGCAGATGATCAAGGACATACAGTTAAAATTTCCAGAATAAGATTTAATGCTTTTGAAACACAACATTTAATATAAGACAAAGGACAGAAATTGTTCTTGGGACTCTTTTCTTGGAAGGCACACGCTGTACCTGCTACCTGTTTGATGGAGGAATGTATGTCAGCATTGCCAGGCCAGCAGCAGGAAGCTGATGAGATATAGCAATTCATGAAAAAGACTAGTCAGAACACTGCCAGGGATGGAAAGGATGGCAAATGGTGTTGCATAAAGCATTTTCATCTCTTTTACAGACAGTACCTATGCATCTTAAAGGGTTTATTCACTGAGGATGCCAACTGGGATATAGGTCACATGCTCACCAACATCCCACACAATAGGAAACAAGAACATTCAGCAAATGTCATCCACCAACACTGAAAGGTTACTTGTTACAGCGGGCAGGAAGGCTCTAAACAGCTATGGCAGATGCTAACAGCAGGGCACCCAGCCAGTTCTCACAGGTGAGCCTTGGAGGGCTGGATCTAGGCAGAAGTAGCGCCATGAAGATTCCCCCGAAACAAATGTCTACAAGGGCAGGGCTGATTGCAAATGCTCTGTAGCTCCATTAGAAGTCATGAAATAGAAATGAGGTTATGTACTGTGGAGACTGCCCTTCAGTAAAGCAGAATCACACTGAAGAATTTTTAAAAGATTATATGGCTTTAATCTTTCAGGAGAACCACTTTGTATGCAACATGGGGAGAACACCGCTCTCCTGCAGGACTCCAGTCCTATCTCTGACAATGCTGCAGAGTCTGAACACAGCGGCAGCAGTGTTGTCTGCAGGACAGCCATTCCCGCCCTTGCGCATGGCTGGCACTCAGCGCGCAGTTGTGAAACTGAATGAATGAGTGGTAAAATAATTGGCAAAATCATGAATTAATCATTTTCTATCAACTGCTAGATTATTCCACTTCTCATTTTCTATGAAAAAACTGGTTTGGATTTTGTCAAGTAAGTTGAGAAGCCATCTTTACCAGAATGCTCCCTTGTCTCAGCCATAAAAAATACGTATGATAGGTACAGAAAATTATGTAATGAGAAATGTGCTTTATCTCTAAAGATTTAAAAATTTTTATTGAATTTATTGGGGTGATATTAATAAAATTATATAGGGTTCAGGTATACAATAATCCACCTTATGTATACTGTATTGCATGTTCACCACTGGAAGTCAAATAAGTCTCCACTAGTCACTGTTTATCTCCCTTTTACCCTCCTCTATCTCCCCTCACCCTCCCTTTCCTCTGATAATCGCCATACTGTTGCCTGTGTCTGAGGGTTTTTTTCCCTTAATCCCTTTACCATTTTCACCCAGCACATCCATCCTCTCCCCTCTGAATGTTGTCAGTCTGTTCCATGTATCCATGTCTCTGTTTCTATTGTTAATTTCGTTCATGAGATTCCACATACAATAAAAATCATATGGTACTTGTCTTTCTCTGACTGGCTTATTTCACTTAGCATAATACACTCCAGGTCTATCCATGCTATGGCAAAAGGTAAGATTTCCTTCTTTTTATGGTCAATTAGTGTTCCATTGTATAAAGGTACCGCAGCTTTTTTATCCCCTCACCTACTGGTGAATATTTGGGCTGCTTCCAAATTTTGGCTATTGTACCCATTAAGCTGCATGGAACATAGCGGTTTACATATTCTTTTGATTTAGTGTTTCAGGTTTCTTTGGATAAATTCCTAGAAGTGGAATTTCTGGGTTATAGAGCAGTTCCATTTTTAATTTTTGAGGTGACTGCATACTGCTTCCACAGTGGCTGCACCAATCTGCATTCCCAGCAACAATGCATGAAGGTTCCCTTTTCTCCACTTCCTTGCCAATATTTGTTGATTTATGGAGGACAGCCATACTGACAGATGTGAGGTGATACCCCATTGTAGTT